AATTGATTTCTTACATTTTTATATCAATTAATTCAATAGCTCTCTTCCAAATTGTTTGTGCAATATCAAATACTTTTAGACCATTAGTAATGTCATACCGTAAATACACATAAATAAATAAATAAATAAATAAATAAATAAATAAATAAATAAATAAATAAATAAATAAATCATAAAAGGTTATAAAACGTTCCCCTAAATAGTTACACTATAATCTAACATAAAAATAATATTTTTGGAAGGTTTCTTATCCCCCGTCCCACCACCCACACACCTCTACAGAAAAATAGTGTTGTTTTTAACTGTAGAACCAACCCGCCAACTTAACATTATTTTATCTTATTGAAAAATATCACAAATAAGAAAATAATTCATACTATCAGAAAAATATGTTTTGATATTTTCTTAGAGCCAAATTCAAACGCAAAAAATATTTTTGAAAAGAAATATTACTGTGTCTTTGAATACTGGAACATACATTTAAAAAATATTAAATGTTCTTCTCAAAACTGTTGTCAAAACTGTTTTCAGAATTTTCCAGCTGCTGAGCTATAGTTAAACAAAACATTTACTATAATGATATTCAATTATTAATCACTGAGAATCATTATAGTAAATGTTTTGTTCAATTGTGTACATTAAAATTGAATTTAATATTTGTTTATGCTTGTCAGTTTTAATTTCTTTCATTATGATTACTGTTTGCGTGGAATATTATTTAAAATAAATTGGATCGTAATTTCACTTTGACCCTGTTTGACTAGCGCAGTGGTAGTTATTGGAGGGAACATTTGACTGACGTTTTAGATAACGCCAGTCATTTTGGTTTATATGTTGCTGTCGTGTGGTCCTCAAAAACCGGCCAATTCTTTCGTTTAAAATGTCTAGTGAATCAAAGGAGAAGTTGGCTCCTCCAGAAATAAGAGGAAAAGTGAAAACTTTGATACAGGAATTATTGCTGCAACTTGCGTACTCCCTCGCAGGCGGTCTGGTAAAAAACAAAACCACGTACGGTCGGTAGGGTAGGACTTTGTGCGCAAGTTGGCTTTGGCTGAATCCTACATGTCACTGCCACGAACCGAATCAAATATAAAAAGTTTTAACTTACAAAGTTACCTCTTGTAGAAAAAAGTAACCGTTATGAGACTACAGAATGTAATGGGTATGTAACAATAACATTCGGTGTGAAAGTAAATACGATACTCGCTGTTATTGTGATATTCACACTCGTTTATTAATCCATCATTATTTCATATGTACTATTTTAATCTACACATTGAAATAACGTTTTCCTACAAAACAAATAGATTCGTTATTTTTTGTTTTCGATATGTTACTCCTAATGCGAGACAGTTTCCATTCACCGTAGCAAAATACTTTTCTTCAACGACTACGTGACATTCCATATCTCACTGACCGCACGTGGGTCATGAAATAAATGCTGAGCTTGAAGACCTCTAAAGATGTCACGGACCGCTTCTTTCGACCTAAATTTCTCGGAATAGCGAGGCGGTTTCGCTCGCTCGAAGTACACTCTGGTTGCAACCACCGTAAATACGGCGTACACACGTGACTGCCCTAGGAGAAATCGAACGCAGGCCCCATCGCAAGGGCGTGCGTGGCCGCACGCTTAGCCATACGGTTCGCAGGCATGGGGGTTTCGAGATCAAAATTGAAATAATTTAGAGGATAAACTGCTATTAGTTTTAGAGGAAGAATCTAAAATGTTTACGTATGGTTTACTATTAACAATTCAAAAGTAGCGTCGAATGAGACAGATGCATTCGTTTCGTGCTATTCTACATCTATCGATGACTATATCTATTTATCTGTATCTAACTATACTACACATTCTGTTTAAAAACATGAAAATACTGTGTTGTGTTTTCGGTTTAGAATAAGAAATTTTGCAGCTTTCACTGAGCCCAAATTTCGTAATTCCTTTCTCGACTTTTTTCGCATACGTAACGTATATTGCCGAATAATATACGTAGTATAGAGAAATTATGAAATGCTGAGGAAAATCAATTTTCCAGATTTAAAGAAAATACACAATTTGGAGTTCCCTAAAGAGAAAAGTGTTTTCTTGTCAAAACGTCCGTCGTTCGTTAATACAAATTTTCGAAGACAATTTTTTTTAAATATTTTGGACGAAGTTTTTACTCTTCTAAAATATCTTAAAATCATGTTCAGTTCTACTATTACAGGAGCGAAAAATTGAGGAAAATGTGAAGAAAAAAATGTAGATGGGCGACGATTAGAATGGCCTCCTGGAAGAGGGTGGGGCAGAACCGAAAGGGTAGCCACCGACCAAATAAATTAGAAAACTAACTAAATAATAAAACACACGTACGGTCCGGTAGGGTAGGACTTTGTGGCGCAAGTTGGCTTTGGCTGAATCCTACATGTCACTGGCCACGTACACGATTCAATAATAAAGTTTAACTACAAAAGTTTACCTCTTGTAGAAAAAGTAACCGTATGAGACCCTCGATGTAATGGGTAAATTAATACATTCGTGTGAAGTATACGATACTCCGCTGTTATTGTTGATATAACCACTCGTTTATTAATCCATCATTATTTCATAATGTACTATTTTTAATTAACACATTGAATACGTTTTTCCTACCAAAAACAAATTTAGATTTCGGTTAATTTCTTGTTTTCGATAATGGTAAGCTCCAAATGGCAGCAGTTTCCATCACGTACAAAACTATTTCTTCAAACCCTACCGTACATTCATATCCACTTTGACCCGCACGGTCTGAAATATGCTGGCTTGAAGACCTCTAAGACTGTCACGCACCCTTCTTTCGACCCTAAATTTTCTCGGAATAGGCGAGCGGTTTCCTTCGCTCAAAAGTAATCTGGTGGCAAACCACGTCAATACGGCGTAACACACGTGGACTGCCCTAAGGAGAAATCGAACCAGGCCCCCATCGCAAAGGGCGTCGTGGCCCAGCATAGCCATACGGTTCGGCAGGCCATGGGGGTTTTCGAATCAAAATTGAAATATTTAGATAAACTGATTATGTTTTAGAGAAGAAATCTAAATATGTTCGTATGGTTTTACTATTAAACAATTCAAATAGCGTCGAATGAACATGGCATTCCGGTATTTGGTGCTATTACTACATCTATCGATGACTATATCCTATCTATACTGTATCTACATCTAACTATACTACACATTCTGTTAAACAACATGAAATCTGTGTGGTTTTCGTTTAGAAAGAAATTTTGCAGCTTTCTACTGAGGCCAAATTTTAGTAAATTCTTCTCGACTTTTTCGCATAACGTACGTATATGCCGAATAATATACGTAGTAAATAGAGAAAATTATGAAATGCTGAGGAAAATCAATTTCCAGATTTCAAAGAAAAATACACAATTTGGGAGTTCCCTAAAGAGAAAAAGTGTTTTCTTGTCAAAACGTCCGTCGTCCGTTAATTACAAATTTTTCGAGACATTTTTTTTAAAATATTTTGGACGAAGTTTTAACTCTCTAAAATAATTCTTAAAAAATCATGTTTCAGTTCTACTATTACAGGGAGGCGAAAAATTGAGGAAAATGTGAAGAAAAAAATGTAGATTGGGCGACGATAGATGGCCTCCTGGGAAGAGGGTGGGGCAGAACCGAAAAGGTAGCCCCGACCAAATAAATTAGAAAACTAACTAGTACGCGAAAGTCTGAGCCATTCTGTAGTACCACTTGTCTTTAATTGAAATGGAGTGGGCCCTAGATGTTATCTCAATTCCTCTTATTAATTGGTCTTATAGTAAAAACTCTACATTTTAATAATAAATTAAAATCAATACACTGAACGCTTATATACAGTAATTTCTTACATTTCCAAAGACAACGTCACAGCAATATTGTAGTGGGGTCTTGGTAGGATATCCTTGCATCGTAAGGTTACAGTTAACGAAGCGAAGATATCGAGTTTTATGAAGTTCGAAGATTTAGTGTTTTAAACGCAAAGGTTAGTGCGTGGGTACAAACACAATGTTCAGCACGCGTGTCCCTTCACGAAACATTTTTAGTGGTCGTAATTACGAGTAAAGTATTTTAAGTTATAGTGGATAGGAGTATATCCTACTATTGTCCACTATAATATTCATATACAGATCTTGGTCAAATGGAAATATAAAACATTTCGATTTTATTATCAGAAGCAACTCTGGGATTCACTATAATTCGTGATGGTATTATTCCGGAATTTACAAACCAGATTCATTAATCAGCTTGAAGAATCAGTACTAAACGACATGAAACAACATTTTTGGGGTTTGAATTTTCCACACAGTGCGTATGTTGTACTTCTCTATTGTAACGATTCTACAACTCTTCCTTTTGTGTGACGTAATATCAAGGGTTCAGCTGCAGTTAACTTGGTAGTGAATTCATTTAACGACTTCTTTCTAAAGATCAAACAAAGACGTTCCAGAAACATAATATAAGTAATATTTGTTGTCAATGACTTCAATTTAAAATTCTATAAACACAATCCATATTTTAAGACGTTGGAAACTTAACAAATATCATTCTACGATTGTATTGATGAACGATACGCCCATATCAAGGCCCCACATTGAGTTTCTCTTTCGGTGGCTGCGATGAGCGCCCAGCGTTTCCTTGCGGAAAACTTAACATTTAAAGACATCGCAAACTGTTCATTCTGAGGTACTCCCGCTAGGCGTTGCCCTGACATACTTGGGCCAACGCTACGGCGCACGCGGGGCGCTGATTCATTGCACTGTCTTCTACTTCCCTCTCTCATGACGTCTTAGAATTAAATAAAATATTTTCTATTGAGGTTTTAATATTAACTATCATTTGTAAATATTTTCCTTGAGTAAAAAGTGTCTACCTTGCCTCGCCTGAAGCTACGTAACTGCAATGCACAAATATGTAAACCGTGAGAGTCGGACTTTTTTCGCACCAACCCCGAAATGCGTAAAGAAGCGGCGAATTATGTTTGCAGTGAAGTTAGGTTATGGTAGATCAGGAGGTCTCAGGTAAATAGAAATTCACGACTGTCTTTGTGGATCTCTTAAAGACAGTCTCTAGCTGACCTTAGAAACTTCCCACCAGTACACGTAAATATTTATCATTTTCTATCTGCCCTTCTTCGTTACTGTAAAGTACTTCACCTACCCTGACCATCTCGGGTTGGTTAATGCGTACTTTATTCGGCTGAAGTGCAAAGTAAGCTTCGAATTTGTTCCTACTTTGGCCGTAATCCACTCATTGTGGATTATCTGGGCATTAACCGTCCAATTCCCGAATTAGCCAGTTCGGACATTAATCCGCAGCACATCCATCAAAAGCCTCGAAAGAGTGATGCCGAACGGGAAATAGATAAATTAAACAAATATTTTTGTTTATTTATAGCAGTTTATTTCCATTTTGTTTCGTTTCGCCAGCAGGGAGGCGCACGACACCAAATCCGGAGCGTTTTCGCTATCGCACTCGGTCCGTCCACGCGAACCCCGGCGCGCCCCGACCGCAGATAAAGCAGCGAAGGGCGGCGCGTGGCGGCGCAGCGGATGACTCACGCGGACGCCACGTGGCGGCGCCACGCTGCCTGCAGCGGCGGCCGCGCCGCCCCCCACCACGCCTCGCCCTTCACCCCCTCCCGGGCCCGAATCCGCCCGACCGCATCCGTTTGTTCAACATCAGACCATTTTGACCTTAATGTACAAGTGCGATAGCCGTGTTCCATGAATTTTATGGAAAGTTGTTAAATCAGGCACCGTACGTTGAAATTATTTATGAAGAAACGCTTAATAGGAACAGCTGTACGCGCTGAAAATTGACATGTCCTACTGTACGAATGTGTTTTCATGTCCTCAAAAAGGTTTATTGACTTTCGGAAACTGCGTAGTTTACGTGAACTAGTATGTATTTCCCAATCAGGAGCCACAAATCAAAATGTATTAATTCAAAGAAAATTGACATGATTATGCCACAGAATATACATATTCTGTTGTGATAAACTTACGTTTTCCATTATTTGCCCTTCACCCCCTCCCGACCCCAAACCCGCCCGACCGCATCCGTTTGTTCAACATCAGACCATTTTGATCTTAATGTACAAGTGGGATAGCCGAGTTCCATGAATTTTATGGAAAGTTGTTTAATCAGGCACTGTAAGTTGACGTAGCGCTGTAAAAATTATTTATGAAGAAACGCTTAATAGGAGTAGGTGTACGCGCTGAAAATTGACATGTCCTACTGTACGAATGTGTTTTCATGTCCTCAAAAAGGTTTATTGACTTTCGGAAACTGCGTTGTTCACGTGAACTAGTATGTATTTCCAAATCAGGAGCCACAAATCAAAATGTATTAATTCAAAGCAAATTGACGTGATTATGCCCCAGAATATACATATTCAGTTGTGATAAACTTACGTTTTCCATTATTTGAATGAACTAATGTTATTTGATTCGGCATATCTTCGTTGTGCAATAAGAAATGTTTAAATATAATGAGAACTTGCTTCAAACTAAATTGAGTTGACGTTGTCTTGACTGACGTTTGTGTTACTGGTCACTGGGTTTGCTGAAGGTGAAGGGTTAAGAACAACTGTAGTTATCTACTAATTCAAGTTACTTATGTTCGGGGTGGACTGTAATAAATGTTCTATTTCTGTAGAAGTAAATCAATTGAATTGTATTTCAAAAAAAATAAAATTTCCCAGCATTTTAAACGAACTTTTTCATTACAAATCATCGTTCATAAGAGGACACCTTATGGCACTGGTTACGATGTACGTACATATGGTTTTGTACTTCCTTTGCCACTTTAAACTTCGACCACTGTTACACCCACTAGAACATTTCATAACTCGAGAATTGTTCCTTTCTCCATGCCAAAATAAATAATATATTCACTAACTTTTGGCAGAACATACTTCTGATCACTGATATAGCTATAGCTGGTTATTGATACTTCAAAGATAATATCATATTCTTCACGTGAATGAATAGCTACTTCAGTTTTGAGAAACTCATTTTTTACTAAATCTCCTGTACTATTATGTGAAAACATTACACCGAGAAACAACTCTGTTTCAACCACTAAATTGCGCTGCAGTTACGGAGGGATTTCGCTTAAGTGATTACAGGATAAGGGGGGGGGGCGTAGCTTCACCAAGCGGCACTGAAGTGAATCTCGTCCATAGGGGTTTGATGATCACACTGCTTGCATATTTTCATCGCTCAAGTAAAAAAATCATAAAATCTATTATTTTTCAAGAAATTTTGAGTTGATATCAAATGAAAGGAAAGATTACGCACCTGTAGGTGCTATCCTTCTCTCACAATTTTCTCCCATTTCTGGAATTATGTACTAGTGGCATGTAATCTACATCGAATGCTGCAGAATAAAACCGAACATAATTTTTTTTAAAGAAAATAGGATGAGCTCTCCTCAAAAACAACAAATAAAGTACTCTTGTATAACAGTGCTATACAATAAATATTGTAACAAAACAGTTTTCACGAACACTGCAATCACTTAAAATATGCAACAAAATTTCGAAAATAAGCTCTTAAGTTGATGTAATGTCTTAAGTTTATGTAATGAAGTCCTTCAAAATTTCTAATGATTGAGCAAAAAGCACTCGAAAGTTGGATGGAAATAATACTTTTTAACACGCCGTGCGGGAAACGCGAAAAACGTTTTTCTGTGCGAAACAGCTAATTTTTTCACAGTATGCGTATCATCGCGTAGCGTGTGCGAAAAAAATGTAACGATTCGCAATTGTCTTTCGTCTTGATGACGTATTTGTTTATTATTTACAGTGTTACGAAATTGACGAATCCACTTACTTTTGAACAAGTAATGTATTTGCAGTTATTTGATGTTTAATTTATATTCCTTTACGTGACGCATTGCGTTTTGCTCACGGGGTGTTAAAAATAGTATAGGCAACACGGACACGAGGAGATTCCAGCACTCGTCACTTTGTCGCCCTCGGTGGGCTCAGACAAACTCTACTCGTCCCTGAATCACCTGTTTCGCGCGTTGTTATATAAACTATTATTCCGTGCAAAAATGTACTAACACTACAAAAACATAAATTGTTAATTATTTATACAATAAATGAATACATTTGTTTACAAAGAAAATTTACCACAGAAATAAACTAGTGGTGCTAGAGAATGGCACAGACTTTCTCGTTCAACGTAGTTTCCTAATGTCTTTGGTCTGTGCTAGATTTTTTCTATTAGTTTGGAAATTTTCTCAATTTTTTTTGTTTCCCAACTGTAAAACCGGAATATTAATAAGAACACATGGACATTTATTTAAGTGATTTCTAATTGTTTCTCAAAAACGAAAGTTTCTGAAAATGAGCTTGAAATTACGCCTTTTCCGCAAAGCTCAAACGAAATTTTATCAAAAACGCATTCAAATTTTTTCTTGAAGTTTTTGTTGCCGATAGAGCCACATGCACTCAATTTCATGACAAAGATGCCGTTTTGATGAATTATTTTTCAATAACTACTGAAATATATATTTGTTTAATAAATTCATTCATTTCATTCATTGCATTTGCATATTCTTCAAATGATTTGTTATGAATTTTCTCGAAATCTTACATATTGTGTGAAATTGAGATCAAAATCGCGCATTTTCTGAAACAAACGACATTTTCTAAAGAACGACCCCAATTTTTTTTCAATTAAATTTTGTATAGATTTATGTTTTACTCTTCTACTTAATTCATAAAGTAAAGTATTTCGATTGTACTTTTTGGCGACGCATGGAGAAATGTGAAAAATTGTGATTTAGGTGCAGATAGCTAGTAAGTTGGAGGATGGGAAAATACCGAAAAGCTAGCGTAGACTAGAAAAATTAGAAAACTCACTGGTGCGAGAAAGTGTGTGCAGCTTTGTAACTCAACTAGTTTCGTTATAGTTTCATAAAGTTTGGACGGGCTTCTTGACCCCAGCTGTTCACTTGTTTAACGGGTTCTGATAAAGTTGTGTTGTTTGCCGTAAGTGCACTGACGTTCAACTGGTGCTTCCCCTCCACCACAACGCAACTCGCCGAGCTGTCCTCTCGGAGAAAAGGTCGCCACGTGCGCCGTATTTTCTTAGTCACAGCCCGCTTCCGTCGGACGAGTCGGGGCGGGGCCGGGCCGGACTTCAAAGCCACGTTTCCTGCTGGGGAAGAGCGTGCGGTCGCGCCACGCATGATGCGAAGGGGACAACCTATTCTGGCCGTGACAAGCAATAATAGAAAAGAACTAGTGGTGTTACAACAGAACGTACTTTCTCTCATCATTTGTACGGTTATGTAATTTTTAAACACTTCTTGAATGTACATATGTGTGCATTTTTCTTTGCCGTATACGTACGTGTTTACGGAGTAATATACGCAGTCTAGGGAGAGTTTTGTAATGCTGCGCAAAATAAAGGCGGATTTTCGGCAGGAAAAAATTAACTGCCGAGCTCTGATAGCGAAAAAAAGATACATCCAGTTGCTAAATTAACAAAAAAATATCTAACACGTGGTGTTTTGTGGATCCATGATACCGAAAAATCGATTAACGACAAAATGTCCGTCCGTCCGTCCGCCCGTTCATCCGTCTGTCAGTCTGTCAGTCTCTCTGATCTATGTGTCACTAGCGCCTAAATTAGGCATGCGATTGTTTCCAAATTGAATAAACCCCGGTCGATGTGGCCTGAGTCGAATCTCTGCAATTTTGAACAATATTCATTAATTTTTAGGGCTACTTTACATGAAGCCCTACGGACATTTTCAATTTGTTCTCAAATATAGCTCCAAATTTTTTCTATAAATTTCTTATAATAATAGGGTAAAACACGCTTATAAAGGTGGCATAGATCCCATTTTCACTGACAACTCTGAATTTTAGATAATTGCACAATTTTGAATTTTTCGGCGATTTCCTTCAAGTACAAAATTGAAGATAAAGATTTTTCCTTCAAATGAAATTTGTTCTCCATTGTGAGTTTTTTCATTACGGACATGTACATTTTTTAAAATTTCAGTAGTTTTCGAGCAATATCGTTTGCAATGTGTGCAATTTAAAAAATCACAAAAATAAATTTTGTCAAAACGACTCAAATTTTTTTCTTTAATCTTATGGTAGGGATGGTGCTAAATGTATTGAAATAGATGGCTTAATCACCATTTTGTTATATTCTTTTCTTTGTTTCAAAAATTACAAAAATATTTTTTACTTGTCTCACTTCCTTAATATTTACATTAGCGGCGATTAGTTTACATTATTGCATTTATGTGGTTCATACGATGTCAAAGTTTCTTGAAAACTCAACTTTTTATGTGAAAATTATCTCCAAATCCCCGTTTTCAGTAATTATTAAATGCATTTTTCTTAAAAACCGCTCCAATTTTTTCATTAATCTTTTTGTATGGATAGTGGGAAATAAACTGTTTAAGATGACAAAAAAATCATCGTACTGTATTTTTTTTTTTTTCAAAAATTACTCAATGGTATTTTTTTAAATCTCTCTCACATCATTAATATGCACATTTCAGCGATTGTTTTATATTATTGTATTTGTGAGTGGAAGTTCTTCAAATTACTTTCAATTAAATTTTTCGAAAACGCACTTTTTTTGTGAAAAAGAGCTTAAAATTTTGCATTTACAGAAACTCTTAATAATTTTCTTAAAAACGGCTTCAAATTTATCA